ACGAAGCTCTCCGAGGCGGTTGACACGTATTACGAATACCCGTCACAGCCCCTACCGGTTGACCTGACCTGACCTGACCCGACCTGGTCTAAATGCTTAAAGACATCATCTGTGATCAAAAATAACACGATATTCGTGATCAGCACCCCGAAAACCCCCTTAGCAGCCACACTTTACGACTTTCTAATAGGTCCCGATTTTCCCGACTTTGGGTCATTGACCTGACCTGGAAGGTCAACCAATGACCTAGGACCTTAAAATTGGGTATCATCGGCTTCCTCTCGTCACGGGCAACACGCTCGTTTTTTCCGCGAAGCTCTAGCTCAATCAGGGGCCAAACGGCAAGGGGGGGTCCAACCGACCCCCCCCCCCCCCCCTACACATTAGAAGCTGGAAAACGCCGCACACATGCGAGGGTTAAGATATGTAAAATTATGTTTCAAACATATTTTGCTGCCAAACGCATGCTTATAAAACAGCTCTACGCCCGTTTCAAATGAACCCGATGCGAGGGTCAATTGAACCAGCCCATGGGGTCAATTGCACCTATCCTTAACAATGGGATGTTTTCCTCTTTAAGGCCACTTTTTTAAGGAGATATTTTGTCCGGTTTACTTTTCCAAATGCTACATTCAATAGGTCGTTGGAAAGCTAAAAGTGCAAAGTTCCTCATAAAAGGTGACATAAAGTACATAGACTATGGTAAAATGGGCGGATGAGGAAAATGAGAAATATCTCAGGCTATAGTGTGCTTTCAAGCAAAAAGCTGGAGAAAAAGGGGTCAAAAAATGAGCTCTATTAAACTACTATTTCAGTTTAAAAGCTCATTTCAAAGGTGGACTATTTCCTTTAATGTTTACAGCCCCTGAACAATAACCATTGCAAAGGTCACCGGGGTCCATTGAAACGGATTGTGGCCCTGTTTCAACTGACCCTCAGAGAAGCGTTTCAATTGACCCCATCCGCTCCCGCCATCTCGCACGCGCCGTAAAGCACATGTCAAACGAGCTGGAGGGACGGCATCATGCTGAATGAAGGGACAAATAAGGTGTTATTCCGGAGCCAGGAGTTCTTCTTTCAGCAAACAAAGGTATATGAGATATCACAAAATATTCATAAAAACGATTTCTCCCAAACGCCCCTCAAAAACACAAAAACAAGTGTCAAATCAAAATTACCGTCCGTTTGCCGCCCAAACGCCGTTGACAAAGGAAGTGGTCGAGCGCGGATGCGCAGTGGTGTCGGCAACGCCATATGTTGCATACTATTGAAAATAAAGCCATGTTTCATCTGACCCCGTGTTTCAACTGGCCCCGCTCTCCCCTATTAACTTTTGTGTTTTGCGATGTTTTGACCTTATTTAAAGTACTGAAAGCTCAAAATGTATGATTAATGTTGTTTAAAGCAGCATATTAATAATTATGTTTGTAAATTATCGATAAGCTGCTTATAGCAGGTCACGTGATTGCTACCAGATTATGTGCTCAGAAAGCATCTTTTCAACTTCGATTTTGAACAATTTTTACCTCCTTTGAGGCCAAATGATGGACAGTTTGAGGCACACGATGAAATGCTGAATCTATTGATGCCAAAATTTGTTCATTTTTTGCATTTTTAGACTAGTATATCCTGGCTCAAACTTTGACCAGTTTGTGTGTAAACCCTATGGTGAAGGGAAAACTTCACGCCCAGCAGGCGTCATTACAGTGCTGCCAAATCGTGTTTGGTGGGGGTCGGCCGGACCTGGGGTTATTCAAATCACTGCAACCTGAAGGGAAGAGGGCGTGCTCGATCTCCCGTCAAACTCCGTAAATAGATATACCTAAGCTATGGGAACAAAAGCGGTACCTACCAAACGAAACGTCTACATGAGACGATTCTAAAGCATCTAAATTTCTTACCTCGGGTCAAATAAAAAGGTCAAGGTCAAGCACAAAACCAACACATGAGTGACCTCAAACTATGTGTTCCAAGAGGATGACAGGATGCATAGCATCGGTCAAAACTGTTCGGAAAAAAGAAATCCGAGGAATCCGGCGATGTGAGCAAAGTTCAAGGTCAAGATCAAAGTTATACTCGAAATTGACCTCAATTTTTTTTTTTTTTTTTTGTGTATCTCAGGTCTCCGAAATGTTTTGAAATATTTTCAATCTTGCTAAGTCCCCATATGTGGTCCTCCTACCTAACGATGCAAGGCTGTCCTAGGGTCAATGTCATGCAGAATCGTCCTTGCTAGAAGCTGTTTCACAGATCCAACTCAATTATTATACTATGTCATAGACCACTATATATCTGGACTGTGCACGGAAATTAGGGCCCTGCCATTAGGGCCCTAACTTTCGAAGGTCGTCACAGCCAACTTATTCGCCATATGATGATGTGCTTTGGGAAACATCACCACTAGTCAATTTGTAATCTGAGTTATATCTTACATTGAGCAAAAAATATATAATATTAGCGCAATCATCGAAAAAAGAAGGGCATTTTCTGCCCATTTCTTCCATGATTTAACATGGTGTGGATGATGGTTCCCAGCTAATTTTCACGAGAATTAGCAAATTTTCACAGACATGTAGCGAAGATTTTTGCTATGTTTTACTTGATTTTTGCAAGATTATTGTTGTTTGTTGTTTATCATTGACATGCGGGATAGTTCTCTTTTGTCTTTAAATAAAATGAAACCTTTTAATGCATACATGCCACTGAAATACAGTAAAATGTGCCGCTAGTGATACCTAATCACTTCAGAATATCCTATGAACAGAACGGGGAGTGAGCATATTCAAAGAGCCAAGACAGTGCATGCAACAATGTCAGTTTTCCGGTTCCTGGCTAAGGCATCAATATGAAGTCAATTTCTATATGCCCTAAAGCTGAAAATGTCTTGGAATTCTGACCACTGGGCTCCCTGTGAGTTTTATTACATGCTGTGACGCTGGCCGAGACCGAAAAATTGAGCAGAAGACAACTGTAAGGAGAGGTGGCGGATCCGTTTCCAGACTGGCGGCTCCTATAATATCAGTCACAAGTGAAGCCCAAAACTAGCTAAAGTCTTGCAATTTGGTCAAGTGATGGTCACATATGTTATGGCTTGCGGAGAGCTGGCGTGCCCACATCAGCAATCTGTGTTCCGCTCCTGCATGCAAGCAATGGGTCCTGCTCTGGTAACAGCTGCCGAGTCGCTCTCTCTTCGGCACACGTATAGCTTCAAACGTGTGTTTCAAGACAGCGCGACTACCATTGTAAAGGAAAACGATAACTTTCTTCACATTGCTCGCTGAGGGAGTCACACTGTCGAGAAGCACCTCAAGTTACAACGCTACGACCTGCATTCCTTCAACACATTGATGTGTATAGTTGAGCGAAAAACAAACATTGCAATTCATGGAGTCAATATGGACAGTATACCGTCACTCAACACCAGCGATGCGCGAACAGAGCTTCATGAAATAAGAAAGCTTCATGAAAATGAGAAAGGATGAGCCGCAGGACGTAAACACAATGCAACATTCCTGGGATCAGTTTGTCTATGCAATCAATAATTACGATCCTATTCGTCGATGTGTAAGATACCAACATGGCTGAGAATTTCAGATGTGGATTTACAATTCGAATAGTAACTAAAGGCAAATGTAGCACAAGAACTATAAGAAAGTGCATTCCTAAGTGCGAAGCTCTGCTGCAGTGTCCAGTGAACCGAGATCTCGTGACTCCGTCTAAATCTCAAATCTCGATCGCCATCACCCGCTGCAAAATGCGGCCACCGTCACTGACAACGGTGTTCAAAAGTCCCCTTCTCTCGAGAGGGACAGATGACAGAACCCGTCTGTCCCTATGCTGAGCATGAAATCGACCTCAGTGGAAGCAGGGAACAGTTGTGGCCCAGCAGGTCACCTCGGACGGTCTCGCTAAAAACGCAGCACCGGCAGCTTTGTTATTTACCCATAGGAATCTTCGTAATTCCGTGGCGCAGATCGTGTGGGCTTTCAAAGCATTGAGCCGGGTGCGTGTCTGATTTAGACAGGCAAATTAATCTGCAGTGTGTCCAATATGTCATCAGACTGTCTCTTGTCAAAAACGACCGATCACGGATTGTTCCTGTCTATTGATGCTTTGAACTTAATACAGTGTGATATACCTGTCTATAAGTGCTTTTATTTATTTATCGTGTTAAAAATCATGCTATAAATTATACATTTATTAAAATATACATCACATTTAAGAAGTTACTTTCATTTAAATGGGCTTACTAGAGCGTCAATACACAATTCCGCGTGCTACGTCGAATTTCCCAGCAGGGCCCTAATAGCAGTCGGCAAAATCCGTGCACAGTCCAGATATATAGTGGTCTATGACTATGTATATTATATTGCTATGTAATGCAACCATTTTTGCTATCCTGAGGCCCCAAATGGGCGTTTTGAGCAAGATAGATGTAAACTTCGTGATCGGCGGCTATAGCAAGACCTATCATGTAACAAGGTCATCCAAAGGTCAATGGTCATTCAAGGCCACATAAGGTCAGCAATCAGCGTAAACTAAAACTTTTCCCAACAAAATGTATGTCATTCGACGGATCTCGACACTACAAATGTGGTGGTGCGACTGTCGGATTATTTTTGTGACAGTTATTTGCGAAAAGCTAAAAACCCAGCCCGGGTTCGTTGACCTGACCCCTGATCTCAGGACACTAAAATTATTTTTGTGTTTCTCTCGTTCATATGCTACAAGCCGTGCTCATCATTTGTGGTTACGTTCACACGGTGAAGAGCCGATAAGCCACACCGTGACGCAGAACACATCGAATACCCTGTCAAATAGCCACACACAATGACACACAATACCCCAAATACCGCGTCAAAATAAATTGAGCCGAATGCCCTTCACCAGCCCGATCGAGGATCCTGAACATCGCCTTCCATACAGCGCTCATTGGCAATGTGTTTACGCTTCCGGCTATGTAAGCACTGCCTGCGGTAAATCAGTTTGTACATTTTCAGGCAAGTGAGCGGCTTCCACAACTGGGTGTATTTCTACTTCCTGGAGCGGAAGAACCAGGTCAACTACCTCGGCTACAAGAAGTACAAGCTGATCCGGGGACGAAATGTAAGTCTTCTGATCATTAGAAACGAATCACTCTATTTGAATATACCTAAACCAGTATAGCGCCTTTTGGGGCGACTAACGGAGCGAGCGAGAGGGTGAGCCTTGCACGTGCGAAATTTCGAGGGGGTACCTCCAACTGACTTGTGCACGGCACCCTACTGACCGGTTTCTAGCGATGTGCCAAATTTGAGCACAATCGGCCCAGCCGTTCTCGAGATCTGGGAGCGGCACCCTGCACGTGCGCACGTGCAAAATGGGTCCCGACTGGCTTTTGCACGGCACCCTACTAACCGGTCCCTAACTGTGTACCAAATTTGAGCGCAATCGGTCCAGCCGTTCTCGAGATCTGGAAACGACCCCTGCACGTGCGCACGTGCAGCAGCACCCCAACTCTGGCACATGGATATGCAGTGCCTAGTGGGTGCCTACCTACATGCCAACTTTCAGCGCAATCGGCCAAGTAGTTACCGAAATATTGCAACAATTGCAAAACTGACACCTCTTCGTTTTGCACGTGGCACGTGCATAAGGGGTCACCCACATGCATCGGGAATAGTCCAATACTTGGTAGAAGGAATGAAGCTACCCTATAAAAATTACCGCGTGTAAATCGGTCAAGTGGTTGCTGAGATATAAGCCTCGCAAAAGCGTCCGCACGGCCGGCCGGCCGGCCGGCCGGCCGCTCATACTCAGAAATTTCCGTTATTCTACGTAAGACTCCGCTCGCTTCGCTCGCTCCGTAATAACAACACAAATCACAATCAGTATTCATGTCCGTTTCTGTCGAACGCAGCGAAACGGGGAGGCACTGCTCATTAGTGTTTGACACATTGCTAAGTAGGTGTGTTGGCTGGCCGTTTCATTTGCGTGCATTCGCTACAAAATATCATCGGGGACTTCCTCGGTGTCCTGATTGGACTCGAAGACGGACTCGACTCGCGGCAGGGCATTTTCCAGATCCAGCTCATCCAGACAGTCGTGGAACATGGCGAAGAGCATCTGGAATGCACGATGATTGAGGTCCTTCATCTCATCAGTGAAGCTGTCTGCCGGCAACCGCTTGGACATGACAGCCAACAGCAGCGTGAAGAACAGTCTGAAGTGGAGGGCATTCATGCCGCGCTTGTAGTGGTTGGTGGCCACGTTGACCACGTAGTTTCGGGCCAGCTGCGGATCGCCCAGCTGGGACACGATATTTGCAAGCGTGTAAGCTATGTATTGTCCGTGAGCTGCTAGCTTCTTGTGACGAGCTACCTGACTGAGTTCCATGCCCTCGAATATCTTGAATTTGGGCAGCAGAGAAGGCTCGCGAGTGAGTGCACTGAGGAGCACCTCAGAGCCAATCTTAGCGCACAGTTTGCGGTTCTCCATGAGTTCATCCCAGAATTGGATAACCGCCTGTGTCTCGCGCTCGTTCAGAAGGTCGGACACCCTGGAGAAGTGCGGCGAGGTCGCCATGGTGCAATGTAGATGGCTTGTGTGGCACAGGCACCGCGGGTCGGCTAACCCGGTGTGAATTTGGAGGCCAGCAGACATGCCTTAGATATTCTTAAGCGATACCTGGGGCCATTATGCGTTCGATGTAAGTCTATCGCTAAATTTCGTGAAAGCAAACACATCAGCAAAATGATTCGAACCGGGTTTGTTAATGTTTCTTGCAAGAGCCGCTTAGTATGTATCTAGCCAGCAACCAATAGTATGTCTGCACGCTACTGGTTCGCTGTTACTTTTACTTCACTATAGCTTCGCGATAGTTTTGCGTCATCGTAACACTACATACCTATGACCCTCACGGTCCCGACATGAGCGAGGCTGATGCAGGGCGGCTGATGACGAAATTGGCTGAACTTTTTGGGAACTTTCCTTGATTTTATGTCAGCTTCACGTGAATAGGCAGCGGTGAACTCTCTTGCAAGGGGCAACTTCACCGAGGTGGTATGCATTCATTTAACGGCAATACCAATTTAAACCAGTGAAAACCGGACTTCTACATAGAAACCTATGTAGAATCGAATGCGAGTAACTGTAAGAATATACAACCTTAGACTTGTGAAGAAAGTTCCTAACGTTTTAATTGTTCAGTGTAATTTATGATCATGTGACAGTGTATCGGTGGCCTGTTCGGCTTCAACGGCACCTGCTCGATCAGTCATATTTTACACGATCCTTACTTTTGCCCACAGACCGCCATGGTGATCAAGTTCCCGTTCAAGTGGGATAGCTACCTGAAGCCGGTGACGAGCATGCTGGTGGGCACGTCTCCGGAGGTGGAGATCTCTCTGTTCACGCTCTGCTTCTACGCGCGTCCCGACCGCAACTGCCGAGTGAAGCTGGGCAACCAGCAGCTGGTCCTCAAGACGCACACCTACAGGAGCGGAGGCAGGAGCATGATCGGCTCCGCCTACGTCGACCTGTGACCTGTGACCTGTGGGCTGTGACCTGTGACCTGTGAACCAGATCGGGTCGATAGCTGCCCCCTGCAGTTGTCAGACGGGCTACCATGGTCGCCGGGATTAATTAGATGATGTGTGGCGATGTACTGTTGCTTGTTTTTGAGAGATTCGGGGCATCAGGGTCAATAGCAAGCAACGCTTTAGAAAATGTAATGAACATATTGTTCTAAGATGATATGGACGTGTCATTACTTATACGTATGTCATTTGCTTTTTGAATCCTCTTTTTATCTACTGGGCTGCGTTCAATACAAATTATGTAGTTGGGATTTTGCAGTTTGCTTATCGTCTTTCAGTTTGCCGACCGTAAGTTCAATACCGTTCGAGGAAAGCGTCAACGAGCCGCTACATACCTAGATAGGCAATTACCGTGCATTCGTGAGTTTTTCCTTTGCTTTACATAGTTTTGAACAATTCGGCCAAGTTCGACCATTTTAGGTTCGCATGCATGGATACCTATAACCTACATATGAATGCATCGGTCGGCATCAGGCCATCCTGGCAACGTCCGATAGTAGCCAACTGGAGCTTCTCTTGCCGGCCGCCAGACGTCACCACCAGGCTTCTGAAGGAGGCCACTGACAAAGGCCCCGCTAGCTGATCCAGCGTCCGCTGCCTGCATAAGAGTAGAGAAATAGGCCATTTTAATGATGGTCACTGGTGAATGTGCTGTTTACCTCTCGCCGGAGCTATCGGTTTTCTACATACCGGTCGACCAGGGGTCACGATCCCCTCGTTGTCTCACCCCTAATTAAGCTTGAGCCTCGCAAAAGATACTTGTGCGCCGTTATGAGAAGCAGCGATTGGCACCCGATTCAGGAATCACGAGGTCTCAGGACCAGTGATTCCTGAAGCCAGGTCAAGTGCTCCATGGTACGGGGTGGGTTTTGGTCAACAGTTTCGCCAGAAATGGTCGCAGCCAGGGATGCGGAGCCATTGAAATTTCAGACGGCTCCGGCTCCGGCTCCGGCTCCGGAGAAAAAATCGGCTCCGGCTCCGGCTCCGGCTCCGGGTGAAATGTCATGGCGGCTTCGGCTCCGGCTCCGGCTCCGGCTCCAGTACTCAGTACCTACATCCCCATGCAATTAACCCGCGCGGGGCTGGGGGGGGTAAATTTTACCCCCCCCCCCCTCGCGAATTTTTGCAATATCTCAAAAACGGCGGCGCGCAGCGCCGCCAAACTTTCAGTACCTTTTCTTACATCAATTTGACACGTTCCCTGAAAATTTGAGCGAAATCTGTCGGAAAATTTTTGAGAAATTGACGTTTTAGTGACGTCATGTTCGTCATTTTCGCCTCAAAAACGGCAAAAGTTCAAACGCCGCTAACATCTTCATTTTTAAAGGAATCAAGACGTAACAAAAAAGGTTATACGTAATTTTACTTTGTCTATCAAATGGCTATCTCGGTTTTTTGAAAATTTTGGATTTTGGCCTAAATTTTTTCAAAAAACTGACTTTTTTGGGAAAATCATTATAAAATCCAAAATTTTGAGTCTATCGAAAAAACCGGAATATATGTCAGAGAAGTGGTCTATGTGCACCTATATACCAAATTTTAGAAGAATCGGTTCAAAAATGTGGGAGTTATTCAAAATTTTGTGACGTCACGACACACAAATTTTTTGAAAAATGACTTTTTTGGAAGTTTTAGACCTCGTACGGAAACAAAAATAGCACCATTCGATTCGCCGTGAAAAACTGCATCAGATAGACACCTTTTTAGGCCTTAACAACCAACTTCAAAATTTGACCTCACTTGACCTGACCTTGACCTGACCTCGACCTGAAATTCATCCAGAGGTGGTCCATATCACTTATTGAGTGTGCCTATTGAGTTCTATGAGTAAAATGACCCATAAAACATGTGTCGCACATGCCCTTTTCTATATTTTGTTTTTTGGTGACCTGACCTGACCTGACCTGACCTTGACCTTGACCTCTGAATGATATTGTATGCAACGAATATTGTCTTGGTAGCCTAAGAACACGTTTTGGGCGATCAGTCTCAGTCCATGACTCCATTCTTCGGCAACTACGGTGCAAGGCCGATACTGTAGAAACTTGCAATTTGTACCCTTGACCTGACCTTGACCTTGACCTCAAACTTTAAATTAAGTACATGTTTTTAGTAGTTCGTGATGAGAGCTTTCGATTGGCGTTTGAATTTTCCAAATCGGACCGTTAGTTCGGGAGATAACAGGGGGGGGGGGGTAAAATTTACCCCCCCCCCCCCCAGCCCCGCGCGTTCGGCTGGAGACCCCAGCCCCGCGCGGGTTAAATACGGGTGGAACAAAAAAGACGGTGGGATTGGTATTGGTACACGCTGCTTCTGTATTTGCATAACAAGGCTATTTTGAATACCACATGTACTGTCACTGCCTTGTACTGTCAAACCGAACTAGGTCAATCATTTTTTCCTCTTCCAAAAAAAAAAAAACAGGAGCCGGAGTCGCCCCCTTTTTTGACGGCTCCGGCTCCGACTCCGGCTCCGGGCTATATTGTTTCACGGCTCCAGCTCCGGCTCCGGTTACGGGAAAAATATGCCGGTCCCGGCGGCTCCGGTTCCGCACCCCTGGTCGCAGCACCGCGATTTCGTTACCATCATATTCGTAATGCTTAGCCGCGTCGAATGATATACGTTTTATATGGATGAGGTGACCTTAAGATGTTGACCTCAGGTCAGGGTCAAGTCTCAAAAGTGGAAAGAGGTCATATCGCATATCACTCAGTTTGGCAAGTCCTCGTGACCCCATTGGTGGCTTTTCCGACGCACTTACATTTACAGGGATCACGTTAAATTGATATATGAGTGACATATGTATAACACGGTACACATAGTTTGAACTAGCCATTTTTTGACCTAGCTAGCCATTTTGACCAGCTTTTATAAGATAATGGAGGAACACGGAAGGGATTTGTGAGCAGATTCTGCCCCTCCCCCTCCCCCACCCAGCGCGGGCGGGATGCAGATGAAGCCAAATCAGTTATCTAATGAATTGGCGCTTGGTCATCTGCTTTATAGTGTACTTACAATGTGAAAGTGAGAACGTGATTTCAAACAAGTCAGATTTCGATCAAGCTTTGCTACATATGTGGTTGGTAACGTTGCTTTTATGGTATGGGAAGCTGTACCTAATTTACTGGTCACTCACGCATTCCCAAGAAACCCGCTCAGTCTCCCTTCTCTCTCTCTCTCTCTCTCTCTCTCTCTCTCTCTCTCTCTCTCTCTCTCTCTCTCTCTCTCTCTCTCTCTCTCTCTCTCTCTCTCTCTCTCTCTCTCTCTCTCTCTCTCTCTCTCTCTCTCTCTCTCTCTCTCTCTCTCTCTCTCTCTCTCTCTCTCTCTCTCTCTCTCTCTCTCTCTCTCTCTCTCTCTCTCTCTCTCTCTCTCTCTCTCTCTCTCTCTCTCTCTCTCTCCCCTCTCTCACACTCTCCTCTCTCTCCCTTCCTCCTTTTCTCCCTCCCTATCCCCCTCCCCTCCCCCTACCGTTGCGTCGGCGCGCGGCTGCGGTCGACAGTCGGGTCTCGGGTCGTCGTTGGCGACGCTCGCCGCTGGCGACGGTCAGTGACGGCCGGTCGGTCGGTGGCTGCGTGACCTCAGGGGAAGCCGAGAGTCAGACGAGTGACGCCGTACGGACGTCGGTGCTGGAACGCAGAGTCGTGATTAGAGTGGTCTAGGAGTGCGTTTAGTGCGTGGTTGTGCTAGTGCACTGAAGCGGTTGTAGTGGTGAATTGCCTGTTGATGTCAGAGTAGTGCAGAGCCGTGAGGGATTGGTAGTCAGTTTGGTGAGGTGATTCGGAAGACGGTGTGTTGAGGGAGACAGACGAGTGCAAGACTTGTCAGGCTTACGGGTTATAGCTGTGCAAGTGTTGGATACCTATCTCGAAAAGCTGATCGATTTCCTGGATGCTGCATTTCGGAAGCTCTCTGAAGGTAAGCTTCAAACATTGTGATGGTTTGTGCGAAAACATGAGCAACATTTTCAGTCTGTACCAAAGACAATGTGTGATCAATGACTTGCTATGGCTACAAGTTATAAGGTACTTAATCTTTCTTTAATGATGCCTACTAAAGATGCGTATCGCATACCATATTTGTTATTAACCGTATACGTCCCCTGATGATTCCCTCTAACATCCCTGACATCTAAGGTTTCACCTAAGACGCGTCATCCGCCGCTAATGCACACACAGATCATGTAACTGATCAAAGAGTTTGGTCGATCTCCGCTCACATTCCGCATTTAATGTCATACATTTCGACTTTGTAAAGATAGATGATAGCACAGCGATGACTTCAGAGGTATTTGGTCAACGCTGAAGAGTTACGGTGCTGTATGAGAGCTGATGGTCGTGTCTCAGTGTGATCAATAACTCGCCTTTTGAATCATCCCAGTACACAAAGCTGTAAATCACTTACACTGAAGAAGTTTCAATTGAATCATAACAATAAATATGATACTGTCTAGTGTCTGACAGTAAATAAACCTCAGCCCGACCATTGCATCACAGAGTTAAATTTCATCAATTGCAGAAACTGTCGCATTGCGGGAAGAACTACCTTTTCTGCTCCTGTTCCACACCTAAGAACCTTAACCCTGCACGGCTGGTCGGGGTAATGTCAACCCCTGAACTTGATGGTCCCGGGTTAATGGCGTAAACCGAAATAATTCCTGACTTAATAGCCAGCGGGAGAGGTGCAAAAGAGGAAGCCAACAAAAGCTCGTAATCGTTATAAAAAGTGTCTTTTACCTTACTTTAAAGTTGGCAAACCGGGGGCTAGGTCAAGCACTCAAATAAATACGGTTTCAGCAAAATGAATTTTGATACCTTGCACTTCACATATTTTCCTTGCATTAAAGATATCTTTGTGAGTTTAAAGGCCAAAATCGGGTGAAGGCTAGCTTACCATTTCGCAAAAGAGATAAAATCAACGTTAAAAGACACACGGAACCTGTACATGAAAAAAGAGTCCGGCGATAAAAGTGTGAATATTTATATCCTCCCCCAGAAGATTCGAGGGCACACTCCCAAACGGCGAAGTTCTTAGTTCATGGCCCCTTTCATTTGGGCCTTTGACGGTGGTGCCATTTTCGCTCCTCTCAATTGTGGAGGCGTAACATGTGGATTGATGTAGGTGCCCATTTTGGGCTCGTTCTGTTGAGCATAAATCAAGTCGATCGTGGCTTGTCTCATTTATCGGGGACCACCAGTTTTGTGTAGGTTCAATATGATTTGAGTCTCAAGATCAAACATGGAAATCAACTCTA